CGGATGGAAAAGACAGGGTGGGATAGTTCATATCATCATATCATCGCGATAGGTAAGGGTGAAGAAGAACCCAAGGTGTCATATGAGGGTGTGACACTCCTGGTTGTGCTGCTCGACTCACGCGTAAACACCGCTGAACAACAACAACATCGATAAAGAAGAAGAAGTACCAGTAAAGCCAATCACCTTCTCCTCTCGCACGATGCGCTCGACTTCGGCCGCCATTACCGCCGTCTCGCGCTCCCTCTTCCACTCCTCCCCCTCCTCGTGCCCCCCGGCCATCATGTACGCCCTCGGAATCGTCATCTCCTCCATGATAGACACGCACGTCTCGACAATGTGGGCCCTGAGGGTCCGATCCCCCTCCGCCTCTAACGCCCCCCCCGGAAGCGAAGCAGCAGCACCGGGCCCCCTCTTACCGCCGCCACCGCGCCTGGCCTTTAGGTCCTCCTCGAGAACGTCGAGTTCCTTGAGAGTGCCGCACGCCCGCCGCAGCAGCTTGATCCTGGCTTGCCGCGACAGCCTCGAGGCCTCCTCCGAGAAGTCTTCCCCAGTCGCCGTCCCCCCTCCCGTTGCCAAAGAACGCCTCTCTCTTGTGCCGTAACTCCTGCCGCCGGCGCCGGCGCCACCGGTGACAGAACCGTCGCCGATGACGCTAGCGCCGGCGCCGCCTTCTTTTGCGGCGCCGGCGGCGGCGGCCGCTTCCTCGGCGGTGCCCCCGGCCGCCCGGAGGAGGAGGAGGCCGGCCGTTAGGAGGCGGAGGCGAACTCGCAGGCAGAGAGAGATCGTCCTGAAAAGGACAGATTGTGTGCGTGTGAAGACAGACAGACAGACAGATAGACAGAGAGCGATGGAGATGAATTTAGCAAGGTACATAGACGAACTCACACACAGAGAGATCACCATGAAAAAAACAAACAAGGGGAGATGGGATTAATATGCGAGGTACGCATGCGACTTCGCACAGAGAGTGAAATATCGTCCTGAAGAACACAACAAAACCAGTTGGAAGTGATCGAGTGAGGGAGGGCGAGGGGGGCGTGCAAGGGCGAGGGTATTGCGGTGGCTGTCTTCGCATTCAAAGCTGTTTTTCTCGGCATCGAGCTGACACCTCCGAGACAGAGCCAGACGGAAACCGTGGGCACATGCGAAGACCTACACCACACGATGCACACGACACAAAGGCCCTGAATGAAATCGGCATACTTTTCGCAGGGACAAAAACTTTTATATACAGTGTACGTTTTCCGGCGGAGACTTTTATGAAAAGGAAACACAAAAACACAAAAACACAATAACACAAAGAAAATACCAACAGTGACGACAACGACAGCAACAGCACCTAGGGCATTATCGCTTACGTGGCCCTGCTGATGACATTCGCCTCCAGAACACCGCCAACTCGTTCATCCACGTCCAAGACGCGAGACAGGGGAGCCACATCGAACAAGCTCTCCAGGGCAGGGGCGAGCGTCCTCAACGTTTGCTGCAACAAGCGAGAACATGTAACGAACGTTCGTATGTCACGCCGGGGGGCGACCGCGATTGAGACATCGGGAACGGAGTCGGGGCCAAGCATGCGAACTTGAACATCCACATGAAACATCACCGTGCCAACACAAGACCTCCCTCTGCCATGTCTGTAGAGGTGTGCTTGAATTGAACACGAAAGGCATCTTGTCAAGTAGATGTACGGCGCTTTGTCTTGCCGCCCCCTGCTTTCGCAGACCACTAGATTTTCTCCACCACCAACGGCCTACATGTCCTTTCCCATCTCCGTCGAAAAAACACAAAAACGCGCTTCTAAGCCTCGTGCTGCTCTGATACTGCTGTCCCCCTCCCAAAAAATCAGACTCAGGGCACCGCTTCTCCAAGCTCGGAAAAACTACCAGTGCTAACCAATGAAACCCGGGTGAAACTCCAGCCGACGGCTTCGCTCCGGGCGCTCTCGACGAACTCACATCGCAGGCGTCGGAGCTCATCTGTCCCCGCACCCCGCGGCTTAGCCTCCCAAGGCCGGGATCGCGCCTGCGCACCACGCTCCTGGTGGGGTAGCCGCAGCATCAGGGGCGGCACGCCGTACCCGTGCATGTTAGGTAACGGTTGGGGGTAGCAACACCCGTGAGTGGTTAGGCTTATGGTTGGGGGTAGCAATATCCGTGCATGGTTGGGTTAGGCTTATGGTTGGGGGTAGCAACCAAGAACAAGCCACCAAAATCGGGAGTGACGCTTAAGGTCAAGCGGCATCACCTTTACCACAACAGTAGCGATAGCAGGACATCATGTGCAAGCAGGAGCAGCAGCAACACCAGTATCATCGGCCGCACCATACCTTCTTGGCTCGAGCGCCTTCTGCACCACCTCGTGCAGCTGGTGATGCAGCATCGACACCTGGCAACACGACAGCACGACAGCGTCCAGGCGGTGCCGCCGAGGAAGAGCACACAACGTACAGCGTACGACGGCCACAAACCGTCAATATTCGCGGAAGGAAATTCACAACACAACAACTAGGAAAGCATGCATCGAATCCACAAGGCGGGTCGGGGGGTAGGCGTCGCGCTCGGGGAGCGGCAGAAAAATTACAGTTCTTGGCCAAAAAAAACCAAAAATGGTCGTTATGAAACAAGGCCACTCCGCAACCACCGCCGACTTATCGACAAAAACGACACCTAGAAAAAGAACGGCAACACCCAGGCATCCCGCTTTTCACATGGAAACACGATCGATATTTGACATCGAGACAACCTCCCCTACAACCACTCGCAGCAACTACGGAGAAAAAGGGTGCGAATGCGCGGGCGCACCATCACCAAAAACACCGCCAACGCCAACAACAGCAACAGCAGGCATTCGGACGCGAGAGAGGGAGTGCCAAGACCATCCCTTATCGTCTTGACCATCTCACCGGCGGTGCTTCAACAACCTCCGCTACCACACCCATCATCACAACCAACAGTAGCGACGCAGATACGGATGCGAGCGAGTTGAGAAGGAAGACTGCGTGATCGTGATGATCTCACCAGTGCCTCACACATCTCGGCGACGACGTTGACGACCGCCCAGCCCTTGCGCTTCTCCCCCGCGAGACGGTGAGCGGCGATCTTCACCATGGAGAACGACCGCTTGTCTCCTGCGATACCACAGACAGGCCAGTCACCCAACCACACGTGGCGAGCAACATGAAAGAGACCCCAACAAACGCGTGGCGAGCAAGACGAATCAAAAGAGCAGCACAGCATGAAACGTGGTACCAAATTGATGCCATCTCCACACCGTATTCGCGAAAGTAGCCCTTCAAAAATAAGCAATAATATTTCATAACAATCGCACATCCGTCTCTCCTACCAAATGCCATACATCCCGGGCGGAACAAAATATCTCAGGCAGAAACCGCAGGAGGGGGTCCAACCCCCCCCTCCTATGTGACCCCGGTCGGGTCTTCTAGCTGGTAGAAGTGGAGGATAGAGGCCAGAGGGGCAGACGACAGAGTCCAATAATGGGCAAAAAAAAAAAAAATGGGATAAGCTTTGTCCACGGCAGTGACGAGAGGTCTGTCCCGTTTAACAAGTAGAGATGGTACAGAGCACCGCAAAATGCTTGAGTGAGAAAGTTCAACCTTGTTTGGAGGACTTGTAGGGTCGACGGAGGCGACAAACGAACAACCAACAACATATTTTCCCACCGTCTTCAAACTCCCACGAAGCCAAAAACAACAACGGTTCAAAAAAACACCCTCACCCTGCCCTACAAGGGCGAGTCATCACACGCCGCCTCGAAACCCACAAAGTTACAACAGGTCGACTGCACAACTAACCGACAGCCTGCCAATGCCGAATAAGGTGTGTGCGCTGGGAAAATATCTCGCCCAACCCCTTCCTTGCAACTTTTCACCGGCGAGTTTTCGATAGCACGCTCTTGATTGCGGAGCAATCCATCGTTGAAAAGGCAGTCCAGCAGGCGGTGTGCCTTCCCATCCCATCACTCGCTCCCTCACCGTAACACCCTCGCGGTCAAACACTCACCAAGGAAGTCAGAGCGATCGGGTTCCACTTCCGCGCCACCAGCACCAGTCGTCCCAAACACCCCGGCACCGCCTCCTCCCCCGGCCGCAACTCCGCCCCTAGAAACCACAACAGGCGTGCGCGCGGGCGAAACTTCTCCAGGGTCTCCGCCGCTGCTGCCGCTGCCGCCAGCACCGCCGGGGTTTCCAGAAGCCTGGGTGGATGACGATGAAGGTGGTGCCGGAGCGGGGGCGGGCTGGTAGCCCGGCTGGCGGCGCAACACGCAGACCTCGACAAACACGCGGAAGGCTCGCATAACCACCGCCTTTTTTTCACCGTACAAGAAAACGGGCGGGGGGGACGGGGAAGGGGAGGGGGCAGTGGCGGGGTGACGACGGGGCAGGACGAGGAGAAAGAGGAGGTAAGCAAGCAGCCTTCGCGATGACATAAATGGTTAGTTTTTTAGTAGGGGGTAAGAGGTGGGGTTGGGGGGCTAGGGTTATTGGAATGCCAACCTTCCCCTATACATGTTGTCGTTGTTGTCGTCTTGACAATAGTGTAGGATAAATGACAAAATCCTCGCGAAGCGGTCGAGGTGAGCGGTTACGGGTAGCAGCGTGGGGTGTGGCGCCTAGAGGCAGGCAGCACTTCTCGCAGTTGAAGACGTGTTTTCATTTTTTGAACAACGGCGGTCGAAACGCTGGAAAGTCCGGCAGCAGGTGACGCACCTCGGCCTCGGCCAGGGACCAGTTCCGGTTGGCAGCCTCGCAAGCCAATCGCAAGGCGGCAGCGCGCCCCTCGCTGCCACACGTCAACAGAGACAGTCAAGAACGAAACACAGCAGAGGAAACGAAACAAGTCAGGTTTGACTCCATGCAGCAGTACTTTCAGCCTGGGCGAAGCGATGTTGGTATACCAGGACCGACATGCGAGAGGCTGGATTGTGATACGCGCAGCTATCGATGGAGCATTAGAGGCTACTGCAAAAGTTACCAGCAGCTGCAGCAGCAGAAACTAAGCGCAGACAAAAAAACTACAAAGGGGATCCGCGGTCTCGCCGAGAAAAAAATAAATAAATAAAACTACGACCAGAGGCAACAAAAAATGACAAAAACAAGAACAGAAATGCATGCCCCTTCACGTCTAACGTTCACGCGCACCGTTATTTCCGTTCACGGCGCGCCTCTACAGCAACATTCTCGAACAAAAGAAAAACTCGCCTCCTCGGGGTCTCCGCGGCTCGTACCACCAGCTGCAAGCTATCCCCCCCTCCCTCCGACGCCCGTCCCTCGTGAGGAGGGAGGCCCACGAGTCGCTCTAGACCGGGAATATGGTACAAGAAACCGTCGCCGAAAACCCTGGAAGCGTTCCATGAACGGGGAGCGGGGTGGGGTGGGTTATCTCAATGTCTAGCATCAGCATTAGCATCAGTAGCATCAGCATCAGCAGGATCAGCAGCAGCGGCTGCTGCAGCGGCAGGATGAGCAGCAGCTGGATATGGTACCGAAAATGGTGGTATGTAGCGCCCTGGGTTAAAAGGAGGGGGGGTACGCAAACGAGGGTGAAATGACGTCACAGCTTCACAGGACGACTACTATCGGGACGGCTTTGTTGAGTCCAATAAATGGGGGCGACTCACAAACGACGGCGACCAATCACAGGACGCACCTTTCCCTCGTCGGCACAACGAGAGTGTCGTCCAGGCTGATGCCCAAATCAGAGGCCAGCTTCTTGGCCGTCTTCGCCTGTTGGTCACATTGTTGTTGTTGTCGTCGTCGTCATCGTTCATGTGTTGTTGGTTGGGTGATGCATGAGAGAAAGCGACGGAGGAGGAGATAGCGACGGCGACTCACCATGCCAGAAACATGGAAGCGGACTCGGTATATTGCCAATATGCATGTGTGTGTGTTGCCTCGGGTGCTCTTGTCAGTCAGATTCGTTCAAGACGGGTCGGAGAAGATCTCAACATGCACGCCACAGCGTGTCTCTCGCTGTGCTTCATCCCAGGCATTCCGGACGCCAGCCGTACACACACTCCAGCATAGGTGTAGGGCTGCATCAGCCGGTGACACACAGGAGTCGATAGTCCGCCGAATTTTCAAGAAAAAAACAGTGTCGCAGCTGCTAGCAACACCGATCGTTCGGGGACGAAATATTCGCTCCGACATATACCCCCTGAGGACGAAATGCACACGCGCATTCGCACACGAGCCTACGGGCCTTCAACGTTCCGGCCCCCACCTTCGTCTCATTTCCACATGCACCCCGCTTTTGAACGCTCAACACGGAAGGCCAGCCAAACACACAAAAAACTCCAGTGTGGAGGCTTAAATACTGTCAATAGACTCAAAATACGCCCACCCACTTGAAATGACTCCAAACAGCCCCTTTCGACTGCGGTACTATCTCGAATGGGCATAATAGTCTTCCTGCGGTGGTACACGCATGTAGAAATCCTAGAAGCAACCAAAACAGGAGGAAGGTACCGTAGGGTTTCGAGTCAGCTAGAGCACAGGGACAGGGACAGGGGTGCGAGCGATTTTCAAAGCCTAATTTCTCCTCAACCAGGAGGTTACCACTGACAGTCGTCAAAAAGGGCGCTTTTGGAAGTGAGCTTTCCTAAAAAGCATCAGTTGGCGCTCGCACCCTCCTGCTTGTGGAGAAATTACGCGTCGAAAATCGATCGCACTCCTGTCCCTGTCCCTGTGCTCTAGCCGACTCCCAACCGTACGGCAACCATGTTACACTCGCAAGCTTATTCTAAAAGAAAGCACACCATTGAGAAGCAAACAGGAGCATCACCACAAAAAACGCACGCAATACACAAAAACAAAAACTCACAAGCCGCGGGTCCAGGCTAAAGAGGGTGTACGTGGAAGTCCAGCAGCCGAAGTACTCCTCGATGTTAGTCCTGATGAACCCCTCCACCGCCTTGGCCGCGGCTCTTGATCCCTCCACTCCCCCGCCACCGCCGTCGTCTCCGTCGCCACCAGAAACCTTCCCCGCGGCGTCGCCGTTTCCTGGCAGAGCGGCCGCCTTGAGCGGGGGCGGGAGCGCCGCTGCGCCGAGAGGACGCAAGCCCCGGTGCATCTCGAGGGCCAGGATCTGTTTTGCGTGCGGGTGTTGATGAAGTTGTTTTCGTGTTACAATCGACCACGCTAACCGGCCTCCCGATGAAAAGACGTCAGTCTCAGTGCGGTTGAAAACAGAAATTCTCCTAAAGGCCGCGCGCGACCTGGGAAAACCGGAGGGAGCGCCATGCGGGAGTCTACGCTGTTCTCCGCATTAAACACGGATACCGTACGCACAAACAAAAGAAAACTGCGCGTGTTTGCCACGGCTGCCGCTTGTGTATGTTTTTGAGAGAGGCCAGAACAAGGGGGCGGGGAGGGGGGGAGAAGCAAACTCGGCGGTGTGCGTTGTACACATACAAGAGAAGCACAGGGTGAAATAAAAAAAAAAAATAGGGAGAAGCTCTTTCTTGTTGCCCCCGAAAGATGGTCGGCGCCGAGAAACGAAACACTCGCCCCGAAATTCCCACGGACACCCAAAACAAGGCGAAACAAAAAAATACCTGCCGAATGCGTACGTGACTTACGATAATGCACCCGCTGGACATATTCCCTAAGCGCGACTACTTGTACTCCACAGCGCAAGGAATGGTGATGGGCGACAATGTCGGCGTTGGAATCGTCGCGTCGACACATCTACTCTAAGATAACCGATCGCTTGCTATTGTACATATGGACCCTCTTCGTGGTGGACAAATCGAGCTTTTTAGGGTCGGTGCAGGGCAAGTGTCATCTCACGTACGTCACATGCACCTTCTCGCTTGTGGAGTAATCGAGCTTTTAACATTGGTCCAAGGGGGGGGTACAATATCCTATGTCACTACGGTACATACATCCACTTTTTTTTAACAGGGACCACACATACACAGAACAACAGAGTAAGCATCGAAGAGCACACTCTTTAGAAATATCAGTCCTCATTTCCACGCAGCAATTCCTCGCCGGAAATCAGCGGAAAAAAATGCCTCTTTTCCACCACACCCGCAACCTACCACAAACACAAAAACCAAGGCGAAACACAACATACAAACCTCGAGGACAATGCTGTGGCAACGAAGCGTGTGACACAGCCGCGCCGTCTGCCTCCCATCAAGTCCCCGCTCCCCCCCTCCTTGAAGGGGCCGCCCCGCGGCGCCCCCGCCGCCCGCGTGCCTAGATCTTGTGTCCCATGACAGATCTTGGATGAGCACCGACGTAAGCAACACCCAAAACTCCTCGCTGGTAGCCAATGCGAACACCGCCTGCATTTCGAAAACACGCGGTACGGTGCGGTACATTTTTTCTTGTGTCATGGTGTTCCATGAAAGAGAGTGAAATCAAGAGACCGGGGGGGGTACTCATAGCCGTGCATGCCGTAGTCGTTAGACCATGGACCTCGCATCCCTACAAAGCCGGGGCGGAGCACGCCGGGTTCTCACCGGACCAGGCTCTCACAATATCAAGCGCGAAGCGCCGTGAGATAATCGGCGAGACGCATGAAGGGTGCGCTGCATCCTGCTAAGGGCGTTCGGCATCGTGTGCTTACTTCCTTGCGTACGGATGACAGCTGCGTATGGCTTAATTTATTTTCTGGTGATTTCACTTCCTGAGACAGTTGTAATCACTCTGCAACTGCCTCGAGGGTGCTTGACCATATTAACACAATGTGGTGCGATCATCCCCCTTGCGCGGAGTGAGGGATCTCGACCCCGCACAACATGATCCACTCGACCACCATAATGGTTACCGCCAAAAAAAAAAAAACATAGGTGAAAAAAAAAAAAACGGCAACCTGGTTGCCGAGTTCACGAAGTGAATTCTCTTGTTTTACATCGTCGTTGCCAAGCGACGAAAACCCAATCCCGATGGCANATTTCACTTCCTGAGACAGTTGTAATCACTCTGCAACTGCCTCGAGGGTGCTTGACCATATTAACACAATGTGGTGCGATCATCCCCCTTGCGCGGAGTGAGGGTTCTCCACCCCGCACAACATGATCTACTCGACCACCATNTGCATTTCGAAAACACGCGGTACGGTGCGGTACATTTTTTCTTGTGTCATGGTGTTCCATGAAAGAGAGTGAAATCAAGAGAGAGAGAGAGCACAAGAGTTACACACATAGGACAGATCAGATCGCTATAGATCGCCATAAATCATTTCGTTCGCAGGTCACTAAAATCTATAGCTACATATCGATCCGTACATGTTTTTGAGTCTTGATCTATAGACACATTGATCCGAACATATCTGCCGCTCTTGATCTATAATCCATAGATCATCTGCGATATTTCCGTTTCTTGAACTATAGACAGATAGATATGTACATTGTCCGGCGCTCATGATCTATAGATCATCGGTGATATTTCCGATTCTTGATCTATACTTGTAGACGCAGATAGCTCCAAATATATCTGCCGCTCTTGATCCATAATCCAAAGATAATCGGCGATATTCCCGACTCTTTATCTGTAGACAACAGATCATCGGTGATCTTTGCCGCGTTTTATCTGTAGACCACAGATCATCGGTGATCCCTGCCGCTCTACATCTGTAGACCACAGATCATGCGGGTGGTCTTTCGTCCCGTGTGGCACGTGCCATGTCAGTTTCTCGAGGGAGCTCTCCCACACCTTCCACACACCACACAGCTCCCACACACGCGAGAGGCCACGCGCGCCTAGGATGGCAGACACGAGCGGCGGCAGCCGCCTCGGCTGAAGACCACGAGGTTATCCGTGTGGACGGTGATGGGAGCCCAAGTCCTCCGACCGGTGATGGGAGCCCTAGCCCTCGGACGACTCGCCTTTTATAATAGTACAAGACATTCTGTCGTGAACTTCTATTGACTTTCGGACCCTTCGGGTCCACTTTGTTTTCGTGCTTTGTACCTTTATTGGGTACGTCAGCCCATGACCACGGGAATCGACCGCGTCAAGTGTTGTCGTGAGTGTTTGACTATATTGTGCGGACAGAGGAAGTTACTGGGTAGCAGTTCTATATGTGAAGACAGCAACAACAACAACAACAACAACAACAACAACAACAACAACAACAACAACACATATAGCCGGTCGCCCCGGTGATCTAGTGGGTAGCCTCGCAGCCTGCTAAGGGCCAGGTCATGGGTTCGAGTCCCGACAGAGTGAGTTATTTCTCGCTTAATAAATCCTGGTCTCCGTTGGAAGCGACGCACTGCAAAGCTCGTTGTTAGTAAGCTTGATCGACTTCATAAGTCGCGAGGGAAGGGATTGCTTTACCCTTCTCGCGAAAAAAATATCTCAGGCAAGAACCGCAGGAGGGGGTCCACCCCCCCCCTCCTGTGTGACCCCGGTTGGGTCGTCTAGCAGGTGGAAGTGGAGGATAGTGGCCAGAGGGGCAGACGACAGAGTCCAATGATGGGAGAAAAAAAATATATATATATATATATTGGCTCTGCATCTGTAGGCCACAGGACCACAGATCATCTGTGACATTTCAAGTGTTGATCCATATATTCGGATTTACATTTAGATCCGAACGTGTTTGTCGCTCTTGTTCTATAATGCACAGATCATCGGTGATATTTCCGACTCATGATCAATAACCCATGGGTCATCATGGATCATCTGTGATATTTTCGACTCACGATCTTCAACAGCAGATTGATCCGAAGACATCTGCCGCTCTTGATCAATAACCATAAGATCATCTGTGATGTTTCCAACTCTTGATGTATAGACATAAATCTGTAAACTGTCTGCTGTACATGATCTATAATCCATAGATCATCTGGGATATTTCTAACTCTTGGTCTATAGCCACAGATTGATCCGAACGTATCTACCGATCATAATCTATACTCCACAGATCATCTAGATCATGATCTATCCGACGTGTGCAGAGAGTATCAACCGCGCGGGGGTTGAGTTCAAGTCGGTGGATGAGCGAATCGAGCATGTGTGTACGTGTTCGTTCAATCGTTTGTTCTGGGGCGAGGCTACTCCCTTCGGCGTAACTTTGACATGTCTGCAGGGGCTATGGTCGCACAGGAGAACAGCAATACAGGAACTCCTTTCTCTTCTTTCATGCTTAGGAGGGGGGGAAGCGAGGAATCGTTAAACCGGGGTTCTGGGCCAAGTGAAAGGAGGCTGCCATCTACCAGCAATATTTCCCTCGCCTGCTGCCGGTAGCGACAGACTGACATCGTTTTGCTTCATGGCACCACGAGGTGGGATTTCGAAGAGTTATGGCAGGCGTCACCGCCTGCCGTCGTGCAGAAGGGGCCAAAAAGAGAAAGCCAAGAGCGCTTCGGCTCTTGGTATGGCTGACAACCAGTACACCAGAAAGTAATCAAGGCCAACCCAAAACAACCATGCAATGATACTATAGCGACGGCCTTTACACACTAAGCAGAGCCTAAAGAATCAAACTATCGAACTTTATTACTGTGCAGAAAACAGAAGCGGCAAAGGTGACATACACTAGAATTGACCCACAAAATCGTGGATACGGAGCGACCGCACACACGGGGGCCCAGGTCATGGCCTTAAGAAGCATTTCGTGACCTCAACCGCACTGAGGCTGACGTCTTTTCATTGGTCAGCGCGGTCGGTGCAAAAAAAAAAAAAAACACACACACACATACACACAATTATAATCTCCCCCATGCCGCCCCCTCACGGGCTCCCAGTAGTAGCACTTGGGAGTGTTTTGTGTTTTCAACCGCACTGAGACTGACGTCTTTTCATTGGTCAGCCGGTTACCGCGGTCGATGCTAGTAATAAAACACACACACACGAACACACCTGTCCCAGACGACCCACGCCCTCCGCGTGCCACAGCCCCAACACCAGCTCCAGTGCCATCACCAAGGGCTCGCTGCCGCCGGCAAGCCCGCGCTGCCCGTCCGCCAGCTCGACCGAAAGCGCCTTGAGCACCGACAACACCGCCCCCGACAGCGCCGCGCTTCCCACAACGGCCGGCGTCTCGCCGTCACCGGCAGGGGGGGAGGGCGTCGACGAAACATTCGGCGTCGCCCCTGCTTTCCGCGGTGGCGACGGCTGTGCCCAGAACAGAACCACAACCAACGCCGGCTGTTCCCTGACCGCGGACAAGAGGAGACCGAGGGCCGCCGCCCTCTTCTCCTCGATTGCGACACCGCCGCCTCCCACCGGCTTGTCGGGGTCCTGTGAAGACATGGCGGCGACCAGCGCCTGCCGCAGATGGTAGGCATCGTCGGGGCTGAGGGAATCCGCGAGGGGCCGAACAAACCCGCCTCCGCCCCCGTCGTTAGGCCCGGCGGCCGTAGGTACCCCCGCCCAGATCGGCGGCGGCGGCGGCACCGCCGCCGAAGCCATCGGCACAGAGGCGGCGTCGCCGTTGAAGGGGAAGCCGCTCCGCACGAGGGATGCGAGCGTTGAGTTGGCGAGGGCGGGGAGTCGCTCGGCACAGGGGTCCAGGGATGAGGGGTCGGAGGCGAGGCGGCGGGGGGGGAAGGACGACAGCGCCGCGGCTACCACGGCGAACGAGGGGACCTGGTCATCGGAGATCGTTGAAGATCATCGGAGATCGTCGGAGATCATCCGAGATTGGGGGTGATTGCAAACAACAACAGCAACAAAACAAGGGGGGGGGGGG